CTCTCTCTCTCTGGGGATGAACACACCGCGTCAGGCCACCATTCTACATTCTAGTGTCAGCACCTTCCCCACTGCCTCCCCTCCCTGCTGCAGTGTCACAACGACTGGTCTCCACTTCCTTAACACTCCTAAAAAGAAATAGCGGTCCCCGCGTAACACCCCCGCCAGGCTCAGAAAAAAATCACGGTCACATGGAACCGTGCGGCGCGGGCGCACTGTCCCGGGGCGGTTGATAAGCGCCGTTTCGTTTTTCTTTGAGCAAGGGCAATTGGGTGGGGTGGGCCACACCATGTTAGGGTTCCTTTTGCTTTGTCGCGTCGCGTTGTTTCGTTCTGTTGTTTTCCTTTTCTTTTGTTGAGCGCTGGGTGGGCGTGGTGCAACTGTTCGAATGCAAGTTCATAGCGCAACCCATCCCACAAGCAGACAAATACATGACAGGGCCTCGCTCCACTATTGGTGCTGTATCTTTCCATGTTCTAGCGGAAGATTCATTCTCATTTTTCACGTGTTTGTTTTCCTTTTTCTGCATGCGCTGTTTTCATTCTGCTTGCTGTATCTTTGCATACACGCACAAATGACAAAAGACATGGCCGTGCATCTTTCCATTTTCCAGTGAAAGATTCATTCTCATTTTGCACATGTTGTTTTCCTGCTTCTCCTTGCCTCACAAGACCGGACTATGGGCTTCACTACACTGCTCACCGCATGTGCAAAATGAGAATGAATCTTCTGCTAGAACATGGAAAGATGCACCTCCATGATGCCTGTGGTGAGTAGTGGAGCAGAGGCGCTTTTTGGTGGACCGAGGCAGAAAGTCTTAGGTTGCTGCTACTACTCACCATCCCCTTCAGGGGTGCACCGACTGAGCCAGTCCAGTTTTTCTCCTTTTTTGGGGGTTGGGGGGATGGCTGGGGGCCGTGTCTGTGCTTTCTCTCCCGCGCCCCCCCCCTCCTTTTCGTGGTGGGAGTGTGCCTCTAAGTACCGTTCCAATCCACAAAGTACGGGCCTCCCCGGAGCAGGATATGCAGGAGGAGGACACAGCACAGGAGAGGGGGGCAAATGCACGAGCACGGCAGAGAGAAGATGGCAGACAGCTCCAAGGAACAAGGGGGAGGAGGAGGAGCAGGTCTCCACCACGCGTGGAGCCGTGGTGGGCATCGTCTTGTATAATATAAAGAAAGGAAGTAGTTCCCAGGTCAACACGATCTGTTTATGGTCAGTTAATCGTGTGCACAGTTCAGCCACCTCTCAACTTGCTGATGCATGTCGATTATGTATACCATTCAAAATAACATTCAGGTATCATGAACCTACGCTAACTTGTTGAAATGAAGAGGAACAGTCATACAGCTCATTCCTTTCCTCCTCCTCGTCCTGCCATTCAGAGTACCAGCTAGGTACCACATCGTCATTTTGAGGTACCAGAGCCAGAAGATTGGTAAGTGCATGCAGTCTGCAAAATCTCCTAAATGCCTTCTTCCTCTCCCCCTCTTTCGCTTCCACCATTACCTTCGTCCCCTCCTACTCTGATCTTTTACCTCCTTCCATTTCTCTCGCCTGCTCATCCTCCTCACCAGATGTGCACACAACCATACAAAGCTCTGTAGTTCAGGTGGCTTGAAACTCTTGGTTGGCACTTGGCAATCTCTCACATGTTTCAATTCCCGTCCCTTGCCCCGCCACATACAGCCATCCGCAACCAATGTCCTCTTAGGAATTCCCGAATGTGATCAGATGAAGCATGCAAGTTTACAACTTCGCACACTTGCAATAACGTTGTCCTTATCAACTAATGACCCCCGTTTGGACGGCCAGAAGTTTGACAACAAACATTATTTCCCTCACAGCCCCTCCTTCGCACGCCTGGTTGGAACACACCATGATAATTGCCCCACAGAACAGAACAGTCGAGGTCCAATCCCTGCCCTTCTCAAACTCAACAGCGGGGTAGTCAAAATGACAGTTGGGCAAGGGGTTCCCCTATGTCATGTGATCAATGCAGGATCAATGCAGGATTTTGAGTTGCATACTGCAGGCAGACCTCAGCACGCAGATTCCCCCCTTGCCCGCTGTCCAACAAGGAACAAACTCGTCCCACGCACCCCAAGCGCTTACCCAGAATCAAGCACAGGTATCCGGTAATGCATATGCAGATTCTCATCAACCTCCCAACTCCCAGAATGGAAGTATTGAAACATCAGCAAGACGCAGGACTCATTAGGTGACACCCCTGCCAGAAAACATAAAAAAGGAAACAGCTATGTGTAAGCTAAAGCCTGATATAGAAGGTGACAAGAATTGCCCTCTCTCTCTCTGCAAAGGCCTCGATTCACGCCTGCTTGATTACACACTTCAGCATGCATGGATCTTTCTTTCCTTTTTTTTTTTTTTTTTTTTTTTTTTTTTTTTTTTTTTTTTTTTCCGAAAACGCCCCCACCAGTGTTAGTGGTGCTGATAAGAGAAGATACCACTAGCACCTGGGGTGGGGAGCATCACCTGCTGGAAAGCGGGTCCAGCGTCCCTTATACAGACTGAGTTTGAAATACATCAGAAAGAAGTTATGGAGTGCTCCTGCCAGAATTGATTGCCCTGGAGTCCAGGGGATTGACTGAGCAGGATATTGGAAGGAAGGGGGAACCTCTTCACCTTGTGTCCGGCACAGGATACACAGTTAAACGCTAGTTCCTCCCTCCCCCTGAGCAGCTACCTATCATGACGTAGAACTGCCAATCGAACTCCATTTATTGGTGGGGAGCAGTACCTGCTGTCAGAGATAGAGATTTTCTCCTCCAGACCTTCTATCATGACGTAGAACTGCCTATTGAAGATCCCTAAACAGCTAAGCTCCGTACCACTGTAGATCTACAATGGAGAGTCCATGGGGTGGAAAGAGGTCAGGAAAATCAGGAGGAGGCGCAGAGGAACCGCCTCATCAACCTTGGTCCAATCACATGCATCTTAACACAATACAAGGTCAGATTCACACGATGCGAGCAGAGCTGGAAATCACTTGCAAAATCGAAGTTATATACAGCGGTTTACTCTCTCTCTCTCTCTCTCACTAGTACACTTAACTCACGACTCTTTTCCTCGTGCACTGGTGGCACAGTAATGCAGCAGTGCTTCAGCGACATACAACGAGTCAAAAGTTTTGACCCTTGCTGCATTGTTTCTTTTATAGGGGCTGCAGTCCAAAATTGGACTTTGATGTTGGCCCCTTCAGCCCTAGCCGTGACACATTCAGGCTGCCGTTGGACTTCCCTTGGACTGAGCTGCGACTGACCGGGGGATGACACGTGAGAGATACCGACTGACGCTACTAACCTTCACAAATTTGGACAGGCCTTTAACAGACTCAACCAAGTGTGTGATTGCAAAGAACTTCTACAAAGAACTTTATCGATCTAAAACACCAACAACCACCCCGACCAATATCCGAGTGGCCAAATCCAAAATGCCGCAATACCTAGACAGGACAATATCTAACGAGCAAGCAAACAAACTGGATAAACCGCTATCCATGGAAGAGCTACAGTTTGCGGTCCAGATCATGAACAATAATAAGACCCTAGACATTGACGGACTGACAAAGGAATTTCGGGAGAAATTTTGGCCCCTACTGGGCCTGGACCTTATGAGTTTCTACAAGGACAGCTGGGAGGGTATGGGCAAAATCCTCAGCACCAGTGTTGTGACACTTCTGTACAAGAAGGGTGATCGGGAAGACATAAAAAACTACAGACCAATATCCCTTCTCACACTCCCTTATAAAATAGTGGCCAAAGCCCTAGCCTTCCGCATATTGGACGTGACAGACAAATGCTTCCGCATAGATCAGTCGGGTTTTATACCAGGCAGGTATATCTTGGACAATGTAATGACCCTCAACGAGGCTTCCAAGAAAGTGATGGAGAAGAGAATCAGCACAGCGATCCTTTTCTTCGATTTCGAAAAGGCCTACGATCAGGTAAATTGGGAGTTCCTCGATGCGTGTATGGAAAGAATGGGGGTAGGTCCCAACTTCAGGAAACGGGTGCGAGTCCGTTATAATAATGCCTCCGGATGCGTCCAGATCAACGGTTTGTTGTCTGAAGGCTACCCAATCTCCAGGTCAAGGCGATCCGTTAGCACCGCCTATCTTTCTATTTGTCATGGAAGCCATAGCTTCGTTCCTCCATAAAGACCCATCCATCCAAGGACTGCCTGAAATGAATGTTGGCTCCTCACACCACTTCATATTTCCCACAGTAATCATGTTCGCAGATGATCTAGCAATGTTGATACAAGCTTCCAACTCATCCATGGCAGCCTTAGTCATAGCAATGGCAGCCTTCAAACTGGCATCAGAAATGAAGATAAATTGGGTAAAGACGGTAGGGTGGTGGTTATCCAACGAACCCACCCCACAACTTCAAGGACCAGAGGATCATATTTCTTGGGAGATACCGGAGCAACCAACGAGATATTTGGGGATCCAAGTGACAAAGGACKGCCCARCTCCCCAGATGGCACARAATCTCCTAGCCGGTCAAATCAACAAAATTGGGAAGTGGAGTCAAGCATTTACATCACTGTTGGGTAGGGCACTTACCATTAACACCTCCGTATTCTCAATGATGTGGTACATGGCCTCCATTTGGACAATACCAGACCAGACCATCAAAGATCTAAACAAGAAAGCCAGACCCTACTTATGGTCAGGAAACCCCAACAAAGAAAATTACATTCCAAAGATAGCTTGGCACTATGTCACAAGGAAACCAACACAGGGAGGACTAGGCATTATTGACCCCAAACAAGAAACGAAAGCCCTGCAAATTAAGTGGGTTATCAAGCTTCTGACTGGACAATCACTACCGTGGAACAAACTAGCATAAGATAGCATCAGGAATTTGGCCCCAACGGAATCCCCCACTAACATGTCCGTACTGTTTTGGGTCAATAACAAAGACTGGATTCCAAAAACAGGGAGGAGAAAACATGGGACTCACGCTCCCCCAATTCACAACCAGACACCTATCCCCTATTGGACAACCCTTATACGTATCTGGAGAGAGATCATGCCCAAGAAACGAAACAAACCCAGGTCCAAAGAGGAAGTGCTCAAACTGCCTCTCTTTGGAAACCCCAGGATCAGAGACGAGGGTGACCACCCGTGGACACTCTCCCGCAGAGGCAACATATGGCTGTCATGGATCAAACACGGTGTCTGGAGAGTAAGTGACATCTGAAACAGGGAAAGGAAGGACTGGTTGGACGAAAATGAGCTTAAAACTCGACTGAAAGGCTGCCACCGCAGAGGTGAGAGCCTACAAAAGATTATACAGAGCATTCCGGGGGGCTGGGATGAGCTACTAAAGGAGGATTTTACGTGGAAAACCGGTGAGTGGAGGGTCCTAATCCAGGACACCTCCCCTGAAAGGGCCTACAGGTTTTCCCATCGGATATCAGGTCCAGGTCCACGAGACGTCTTCACATCCTTCCCGATCCTGACGACCAAGCCAGATAAACCGTACATTCAGAATATCAACCCTGAAAGAGTAGTGCTGGATGCATTTACACTCCGTAAAATAAGAACATTGGGCCTCTGGCCAAAACAGATATTTCAAATAGGGACAGCAATTCAAGACCTTGAGTTTGATCCCTCCGAATGGGCATGGCCCCCCGACCGAAATAGAACGACCAAATCACCAATCCCAATATATGATTATACAGTTAAGCTGGGCTATAAGATGCTGTTAAAGACAAAGGACCCAGACCCAACAATCAAAGGAAGATGGAGCAAATTAATCGGTTCGGAGGCAGATCAGATAGCAAAAATTCCATGGAAGAAATATAAAACGATAAGACCTATAAAAACCAGAAGTATGCAGTGGCTCATAACATACGCTGCCCTACCGGTTAACCAGTGGCTACATGTTAGAAGAAGAAAGAATGATCCGACCAGCTCTGATATCTGTGCAGTCTGCTCAGATCAAGAACAGGAAGATGTGATACATTGCCTAATTAACTGTAAAGAAGCCACAGAGTATTGGGCAAGGGCATTGCCTATGGGATAGTCTTTTCTCGGCTCCCCTCCCAGAGCACCCCCTTCAACTGCTCCTCTACACTAATCTACCCCCTAACTTTGGCCAATCAGAGAAAATCTGGTTCGGGCTGGTGCGCAAGGCCACGCTATGGGCCATATGGAAGGAAAGATGCAGCAGAACACTGGACGGCACGAAGAACCCACGGGAGAAAGTGTGGGCAGCAACCAAAAAGATGATTGAAGCGAAAATTCTGTGTCATTGGAGAAAGGTTATACTCTGGGTACAGAACAGTCCAGAGACAGAACAGGTGACACGTGCCAAATTCAAGCGGCTCTGGTTGGTAGGTGACAAAGTGGCATGGCTAAATGGGCACGTTTTAAGATGGAAAGAGTGACACAATTTGGTCAAGTCTGTATTCCAGCAGAATACCCAGGTACATGAGGAACCAGTGCCGATCTGGGCCTAGAAGAGCATCCAAGATACACGCGCGATAGACGGCAGCCGATGTTTCACGCGGAACAGATGGAAAAAGATTAATCTTGTTTAGGGCTTAGGGTTTAGGGGTGCGGGTTTGGACAGAAACAAGACAAGCAGGGGTGAGAATGCTAGGGATTTCACGAGCCTCATATGTGGGGGGTAGGGTTTAGACAGAACTGGCAGCAGTTGCAGCGTCTCCGACCTTTCTTGCTATTCATGTTTTATTTGACAGGCTCTTATAGTAGTCCCGAGAGGAAAGGTGGAAGTAGGGCAAGCTGACAGTCAATCCTCCACGATGTTGGAGTAATCAATGCTGATCAGGGTTCCTTCGGGCAGACGGAAGGAAGCGTGAGGGTGTTCTATGATGTAATTATTTTTCCTGACTTGGTGGTGGAATAGGAACCGGACTGATGCTCCCCAGAATGGAAATGGAGCCAGGGCCATAAGGACCTGTTTAAAAAAATAAAGAAGAAAGAAAAAAAAGAAGAAGTTAGTTGTGACGGACTTTGCTAACAACTAACAGGCTGCTGCAGATAGAGTAGTAAATATTCTTGGCTGCTTTGCAATCTGTGTCAGACTACTCAAAAGTAGGAATAGAATTGTTTGTAAGAATCTGAAATTATCTGCTGTTACCGCTTGGCTACTTTCTGACAAAGCTGGACCGAACATTTATTTTATTTTATTTTAATCGGTTGGGTGCCATACTGTGGTAGGTCCCGGTGAG